ATTGTTAGGCCTTATGAAATCGAAGTTATGCGAAAACCCGCTGAATAAGTTTACGCAATTTGGGGAGACGTTTTCTATATTTTAAGCACGCTCTCAGTCATCGTGCTTATTCCCAACAAGAAGCCATTTAAACTCAAATTACACTTCTTTCAAGTCCTGCCTGTAATGAATTATCTACGAAAACAGAAAGTTTGAAGGCCGTAGGATAAAAAGATAATATTCTAGAAATAAAAAGGTTCTATCTCCCCCATAAGAAAAGAGTATCTTTATACCGAGAGTATCTTTATACCTGGTTAAGAGGTTCCATCAAGAGTAAAATCCCCCTCCTTGATTAAACAACTTTTTTGAAAGACAAAAGTAGACAATCTTATTATTCAGGATTTTGCGAGAATGCGCGATCATTAAAATCTACATGGCGTAGATCTCAGTTAGAAGTAACAAATACGCCATTCGCTATCATATTCCCTCTCGCAAATTGAATACGAGGTGCTTGTATATACCTAAGGAGGAGCGACGGTATAATTCTCTTCATGTAAGAAAGAAACCCAATTAATTTTTATCAGTTAAAGGTCCATTTCTAGTTAAGATGTTCCCCCACGTTCTTCTCTTTCGTTGTCTCCATTACCGGCAAAATGATTACCTCGAGCGAACTTCTGGTTGATAGTACATAATGGGAAAAGTTTTAGCAGCGCCATTCCTGATCTCCTTGGGCTGTTAGTGGACGATCATTGCTTTACTGGTTTAATTTGACTTTTGTTAATTACATTGTCAGAAAAAATGAATCGCCATATGCAGTTGACTTTTGACAATCAGAATTTCTTCGGCAGAGTATTGACTTTCTCATCACAGAATCATGTAAGGAAGAGTATTAAGGATATTTTTTCGCCTTGTCGTGAGCGTGAGACAAAGTAAAATTTGTGAGTCCCCATGAAGAATCGAACGCAAGATCTTCGGGTTCCGCGTTTTTGTGCTATACCACATAGACTATATGGTAAGCAAAGCCATCACGAGGTTCATATCTAACACGCGCCTCGCATACTGCTAGGATTAGTATTGTCGAGAGCGTCCTGTACGTAAACAGAATGAGAGAGGTGGTAAATTTTATGCTCGGTAGTGAGATAGGGAACGATGCTCTTTGTATTGTCACGAGTGTGGCGCAGAGTTGCTATTTTTCTCGTGTGATAAAACTCTTTCGAATTCACAGGCTACCCTTTTAACTAGCTACGATTATCATCTTTTCGAAGATTATTTCGAAGTTATTTTTTTACGTTGAAGAAAGTGATTCAAGGGTTTTCAACCACTCACTAATGTGGTGGAGTAAATTAAACCTGCACAAGCCTAGATTACTTTGGACACATTGCAATGAAAATTGCTATATTCTGTAGAATAACGATGAACTTACCACTGGGGAGATACAGTGCCCTTCTACTTCACTGACCAGTGCAACCCAACAGGATATCTGATCCTCGCTCTACACGCAAGGAATAATCATGTACTTAGTCCTGGGGTCTGGAATTGAAAAGATAAATGATAGTTTAATAGTTTTGGATACTTTCGAATTGATGATACTCGTTGTGTTGTAGCAAAATCCTTAGGTCTCTGTGAAGTATATTTTACGTCATTAGGATGGCTGTTCAATGTACATGAAAAAAGAACTTTTCTTGATTGTTGGACATTGCAATGTTGAACAAGAATTTAATTCAGATTTCAAAAAAATCCCAAGAAAGAAACGTAGCAAGACACCTGCATAAAAGTCCCATTCCGATTACGACTGAGGAAGTGGCTTAACACGGCAAGCATACTATATTGTGGGTAAGCTATAAGTCACCCATCTCTGGTAGACTGTTTTAGATCCATTCACCACAACAGGACATCCAAGTTTCCGAAACAACTTTCTCTCTTTACCTTTTGGTGGACCAAGTCGGGTCAGCTATTAACGTCCCGTCTCTGGTACACAGTTCAAGATCTATTCAGATACAGTCCAGTTTCTGAAATAGTTTTCACACTCTTCTCGTGGTTTTTTCGGTGGACCAAGTCTTAGCATCACAGATCAAGACTGAAGAAGAGACTTCATGGGTCAAGCCGACTGCACATTGTGATTCAGCTATTGGTCATCCGTCTCTGATACACAAGTCAGGATCCATTCAGTACAGCAAGACAGTCCAGTTTCTAAAACTATTTTCACACTCTTCTCCTTGTTTTCTGTTGGACCAAGTCTTAGCATCACTGATCAAGACTGAGAGGAGACTTAATGGGTGAAGCTGACTCCACATTGTGGGTCAGCTGTTCATCACCCGTATCTGATACACAAGTCAGGATCCATTCAGCACAGCAAGACAGTC